GGACTCGAGCTAGGACTCGAGCCCTGGACTCGAGCCAGGACTCGAGCAAGGGTTTCCAGCCTGGACTCCAGTTAAGACTTTTCTAATCTTTCTCTAAGCAAAAAAAAAAACAAATGAAAATAATTCATAAACAAATAAACAAAAGTAAAATGAACCAACAAAAAAGACTCCTAACGTAACTCGTAACCCTAACCCTACCCTTACCTTAACCTAACTCTAACCGTAACTTAACCTTAACCTAACCCTAACTCTACCTCTAACCTTACCCTAACCCTCACCCTAACCTAACCCTAACCCTAACTTAACCCTGACCCTAACCCTAACCTAACTCTAACTTGAGCTTTGCTTCCATGATTGCCACGAAAACCCTCCGCTTATTAAAATCATGTAAAATGGTGCTGGTAAAATGGCGGGAAAGTAAAAAATTGTCGAATCCTGGCTTGGTATATAGGCATCCTAAGTTGGAATTCTTTATTTTTAGTTACTCAATTAGCCATTTTCTTGGGGGTTTCCATGAGGGTTGTTTAGACTTTTTTTTTTACACTAATATGGGTTGTTCTTGAGGGACACGTCTTGTCGGGGACTTTTAAATATAAAGTTTGACAGGTAGTGTATTACCACCAACCATGACCAAATTGTTAAAACTAATAAATAATAAATATATCCCTTTGCGTCCTTGTTACGTTCAATTCTTAGTTTCTCTCTCTCTCTTTTCTCAGCTATAACTGAGTGACCCAAGATGGATTCCGAGGATTCCCGAGCGAAGCAATTAGAAGACATGTTAAATGAACTCAAGTCAAGAAGCAAGGAGAAAGTCATTCTGGAAACAGGAGTTTTCGTGCTTATTTTGTTGTTTTTGTTTGTTGGAAACGTGTTAACACTCCTGGTTATGATACTAAACCCTCGGATGCGAACAATTCCGAACATGTTCGTAACATCACTCGCTGTTTCGGACTTATCGTTCGGTGTTTTCATGGTATGTCCCTTAGGTGTTCCTGTATCAGTGTTATCTCAATGGCCTTTTAATCACACAACCTGTCAATATCAAGGCTACATAACTATCGCCTTGAGTGTTGCATCGATTCACACAATGGCCTTAATGGCGGTGAACAGATATTTTAGAATCGTCAAACCATCGAAATACCGCAGCTACTTCACCAAAAAGAAAGCCATGGTCATGATCCTTGTGTCGTGGCTCTATTCCATATTAGTTCCGTTTCCCTACGTCCTCAGTGGGCACAAAATGATTTTTCACCCGGCCAAGTTCATCTGCTTTCTCAACATTGACACCACTGCACTGATCTCCTTCGAGACAGTTTTCGTTGGAATTCCATCTTGTATTATCTTTTACTTCTACTTTAGAATCTTCAAGACAGTTGGCAGTCACAACAATAACCTTCATCTCTCCGGTAGTGGAATTAACGCTGTAAACGTGGAGGAAGTCAAGGTGGCGCGCACGCTATTTGTGATAGTGGTGTTTTTTAATTTGTGTTGGACTCCAGTTTTGGTGATCGACCTTGTGGACATAATACGCGGGATGTGGACCTTTCCTCGTGAGGCTTACGTAGCATACAGCGTTTTGGCAACTTTAAGTGCTGCTTTGAATCCTTTTATTTACGGCGTGCTAAACAGGAATTTTCGTAGGGAATATCTGAAGTTGCTACGCTGTAGGTACTGCCGTCCACAAGCTGTTGTAGAACCGTCGTTGGTAGGAGGAACAGCTCCACGGACTGTGCAGTCATTGCCAGATGAACGTATGGTATCGAATTGATTTGAAATCCGATTTGTGTTTCGAGTCGCACAGAATTATTTCAACGTTATCACATCAATCGAGTGATTGATTTAGCTATCGGTCACTTGACGTTCGTACATCATATGACCATTTAACCCGTCGTATGTAGGAGATAGGTCCAACCCCCAACCCTGTTCAGTGTTTGGCTCGGCGTTTGGGACCAGGGTATCTGTTTCAAATATTCTGACATCTTCAGTCCTGATATCATGTTTAGTAGTCTTACAATTTTGCAACTCTTAAGCCGAGGTGTAGCGCGTCTTTTCAAGTTCTCGTATTCACCCCTAGTGACCGCCAACTTTAGTCACCTTTCCCAAGGTAATGAGGGTCAGGAGCAGTGCAACCATTGTGTTACACCAATCCACTTATCTTTTCTTAAAGCGTGCGTTCTTCGATCTTGGTAAACTTTGATCTTTGCGAATGCACGGGAAAACCACGCGAATTTTTTTTAAAAAAAGTTCCAATACGTTGCGTTTTGTTCTCAGGAGCACCTAATGACGGTTTCCTTCTAAATACATTGAAAACACTTTTTAGGCTATCCAGAGTACTTTTAGATATCTGGAAATGTATTATAAGCGGCGCTATAAAATTTGTATCTGTTAGGTCATCCTAGGGCAACTTCAGTCTTTTCGATAGTACTAGGGCTTCAGTATTATTTTCCGGAAAATTTTAGATGCAATTTAACGCATTACGAAGGAGAAAATTTTTCTGATTCCTCTTTCCATCACATGTTTGAATCCGAAAATTTTAGGTTACCATTTTTCTACGAAAAATAACCTACCCTGAGGAGTGAAATGTGAAAAATTAAACTTCAGAAAATCGTAGGGAATTTATTAGATGAGCTTCGAAAATTTTACGTGAATGGAACGGCCATCAAGAAATTTTTAGTCGTCCTTAACAAATAGAAAATTCTAGGCAATATTTTCGTCTCCTAACAGATATTTTACAGAAAACAGTCGTCTGGTGCGCCTGTGTTCTCTTTGCTACATTTTATTTGAAGTTCAGTTGAAATGTGATAGATCTAGTCATAGAATGGTTCAGATGTGTGCGATACTGTGAAGTATCACAACAAAAGAAAACACACTTGTGGTATTTTTCACGGGAAAGCATTTCTTAAGTTTTCTCTATACCCCTCGATTCTGAATTTGTTGTCACTTGAAAAACTTCCTTGAAGACTTTTCGCATTGGCTCAGTTGACTTGCTGGTCTGCAGAATGGGAGTTCATGGGCCCTTAACCCAACCAGACCATCATCAAAGTTTTTAACCCTTTCAGCTCCAAGATCAACATACAAATTCTCCTAACTGGCCTCCATACATTTCCTTGAAAAATTGGTTGAGAGAAATTATTTAAAGATCAAAGCATTTTTCTTTAGTGATTATTCTGTTAATTCTCGTAACCTTTCTACTTTATTATAAATTGAAATTGTTAGGAGAAAATTGAATTTGGTCACTCTTGGGACTTAAAGGGTTAACACAAGCTGTGGGTAAGACCTTTTGCCAGTTCAGATGATTGCCTTATGGGTGGTCACTGGTGATATAAGGATGTTGGCCTTGTTACGGAGAAAATGTACAGTTTAGAGCCTGCAATTCACCCATTTGGGACACTGCCAAGAGCAATCTATTCCCACGATGAAGTCAATAACCATCTTTCTAAGGCATCTACATTTTGTCACACAGTCTGAGAGCACAAGAACATCAGACTGTCCACTATAAGGAAAAACAAGGAGTAGTAATTCTCCAACACTGCTGTTCGCATGTCCAACATTAACTGGGGCCGGAGGCATAAAAGACTAATTCGATTTCAGGCCATGCAATTTTTGTCCTGACTATACATTAAAGAGTGCTCTTTTAAACATAACGTAAATTCCCGCTTTACAGGCTTCTAAAATACATTAAGTTAATATCTATACTAATTGTAGCTCTTATCCTGAGTCGAATTTGACAAATTTTCACTAGAGTAAAGATGACATGTAAAAACTGTAAAACTGTCATTTCGGTCTGCATTTTATGGCTGCGGAAAAGTCTGTGATTTAGTCATATTCAAAAGAAAGTGCATTTACAGCAGTTAAAAGGGATACAAAACTCCGCCCCCCCCCCTTCCCGGGATGTTAACATGCAATCAGGCATTCTTTTTTCAGGGAAAGCAGACGTCGTCTCCCAGGTTAATCAAATATATATGTTGTAGATCAATTCTGCGCTAGGTTTAATTTTTATAAACATAATAATAATAATAATAATAATAATAATAATAATAATAATAATAATACGTACTTGAGCGGATGCAGAAGTCGGTCATCTCAAACACTTTAAACATTGCCAGAACTTTTACAATAAATACTTAGTTAGGGCGCTAAGGACTCCAGTTTTTAGGTTTTTGTTTTTTCTCTAGAAATCTAGAAACACAAGCTTGCTGATGTTTTTACTTAGATTTTTTAGAACATTAGAGTTTGATATTATTATAAATGAGATTTTAGTAGAGATATTCACATTATGATGGCCTCGTTTAGGTGTATAAGAGATAATGAGAGTGTAAGAACTGAATAATTTTCTAAATAAGCCTCTATTAGAGATAATCATATCATCATGTCTTAGCGTATGTTTTACAGAGTATCAGAATTTTAATAATATTCTAAATTGGCTTTTTACGTAGAGAGATTCATATCATTATGTATTTTAGGATAGTATTAGGTTTCGTATCGACCTTTTTTTACTTCTAAGTGTGGCTTCTTAAGTGGTGTAGGTTACGCCATGCACCCTATACTACTCATAATGTGGACAGCATTCCAAAGTTTCATACTGCGACACAATAATAATAATAATGAAAATGAAAATGCCAAGCATTTAGATTTTTTTCATTTTGCCTACATAAACTACAACATGTTCAAGCCACATGGTCACAATAAATCAAGCGTGGTGGTCTTCCACACCCAACTGAGTGATGGAGTAGTTGTTTGAAATTCTGGCATTGCCGGTTGTGTTCTGTCAGAAGCAGCTGTAAAAGGACAACAAGTGCCGCTTAAATCCCTGTTGGACAGGATGCTTACTAGCCTCCAATGCAGATGACCTTAGGGGTTTGTAATGCATTCCTGCCTTAACAAGGGGGGGATGCCAAAAGAAAGTCTGTGTAGGAGGTTAGATGCTTACTTCCTCGTAATAATTGTAGGGTCACTACACTCAACAACTAATGGTTTCAATCACAGCCGTTGAAAGGGCTGTGATCTATACACATGTGATTAGGTAATTAATGGAAACCTGAATGAAACACTTATGTAGGAACAAAAACGAGTGAAGGCCTCTTCTGTAAATTAGTGCCTTGACAAATGAATTCAGAATTTGTCAGTTTCTGGTTCACACAAATATCACTATGAGCGTCTGCATCTGTAGCTCAATTCATGAGCACGCTTTACTTTTGTAGATGATAACAGAGCCCTAACATGCAAGCATTAGAGAAACTGAGGTTGCTACACGCAGATCTTGAAATGTTCCAGTTTGTTTTTAGGTGTCCAAAAACTGCTTACAGTTTTCTGTGGAACTCGAACACCTATTTCCATTACAGGGTCATGCCTCTGCAATCATGCTCACCGGTAAACTCAAAACACCAAATGAAGTTCACCATCAACTCTTTCTACATCACAGCCAAACTTCCTGCACTCCTTTGACATTGTCTTCATAAGCCATTTGATTCCCTCCTCCCTGGCTCTGTTAACACGTAAGTGCATGATCTGTGTTGGCACCATTCTCAACCCAACCAAAAAGCCAGTTGCAGGATTTATATCTGCAAAATACATCAGAGCAAGATCATCGCGATAATCCTCATGACCTGTGATTCCTTCGTAGTCATTTAAAAAGTCACCACAACCATAAATAATAAGTTTTCCATTATACACTTCTATGCCTTTGACATGATGAGATGAATGCCCGTGAATGACATGAACTCCAGCCTCATCAATGGCCTTGTGTGCAAACTTGACAAAAGAAGAATCAACATTCCAGCCCCAGTTTCCACCCCAGTGAACAGATAAGACAACGACATCACCTTCCTCTTTGTACTGTTCAACTTGTTCCTTCAGCAAGGCTGCTGCTTTCCCAGCTTGGTAGAACTCAAGAATGTTAACACCTTCTCTGTCAGGTTTGGCTTCCCATGAATCAGGAACTCCACTTGAGAAATGACCAGATGAAAAAACCAGCACTCTTGTACCACTGGTCAGCTGAAAAATGGCTGGTGCCTTTGCCTCAGTAGAATTGCGTCCTGCTCCTGCAAATTTAATGCCAGCATCATGAAGGGTATCCAGGGTCTCAATAAGACCAGGAAATCCCCAGTCTGCAACATGATTATTAGCCAGGACACAGCAGTCAATATCAGCTGACTGAATAACATTCACATTCTTGGGGTGCATGCGGTAGTGGATTCCTTTCATAGGCCAAGGTGTAGCACTTGTCGTAACTGAAGTTTCTAAGTTAATTATTCTTAGATCCGGTTTCTTTTCTTTCAGTATTTGAATTGCATCTCCCCAGACATAATCCACTTGTCGTTCCCTTCTGTCGGGTATAGGTCCAGTTTGTGTTGTTGCAATAGTTACATAGTCTCTTGCATCAAGGCCATTACTCTCATACAGAATGGGATTATTGGAGTGTTCCAAGATCATGTCAATCCCTCGTCCTAACATCACGTCACCAACCATGAACAATGTGATTGTTGCAGCCATTTTCTAGAAGTTCACAAACAATCAAATAAATAATTCCTCGTAATTTGACTTGCAATTTACTAACTTTACCGTAGCATTGATAGTAGACCACTAGTTGGATTTTCCTAATGTTTGTTATACCTGAAACTTTGTTATATAGGGGTTTGATATATATAGACGTCCCACTACACTATCACAAAAATTTCCCTCAACAGGGCTGTTACAACCCCACGTATTCAAATATTGACAATTGATAGGGAAGGGATGGTAGATAACGTCATAATGCACGGCACATGACGTCATTATTTTGTGCATAAAATACTCTTCGATCGTCACAAATTTGCGATGACACAAAATGCATGAAAAAGATGTTTTTGCCTTGTAAAACACATGTTCTGATTGGTTTACTTCCCATTGATCACATTATTTTAATGGCATACTGGAAGATTTTATGAAGGAATGTTTGATACTAAAAACATGAAAACAGCTCAAGCAATGCAAAATTAATAGCTGAAACTTTATACAAATTGTAGTCGGAAAGTCAAGTCTACTGATGAAATGGCAAACTTTGGTGATTATGCAATCTGATTCGCTTCAAAAACTTGAGTCCCCCAGATTATCTGGGAGAGTTGACAGCACTGCCTCAATCAAATAAATCCCAGTAAGTTGACGTGGATATCAGGGGGATTTTAAGCTGAAAATCACTCTCAGTGACCCATTCAAGGGCCTTTGTCTTGCTTTGTCTTTATTTACCCACCCCTAGGGAAAATTCACAACTTTGCACCATCAATTTTACAATCCCCCTGGTTGGCCAGGGGTTCTACCCCTGGGGCAATCTGATGACATGTGCATTGAACTGACATCACAGAAACAGATTTTTCAATTAGGTCATTGGTACCATACACATATAGAAAGGCACCCCCTTCAAGAGGATAAATATTGAATTTGCCAACCCTGTTTAAGGCCTAGGCCGAACATTGAACTTTTCATGAGACAAACCAAACTTATTAAGTTAAGTTCATGAAAAGTTTGACGTTTGGCTCAGTTAAGTTTGTCTGAATGAGTCTAGATCAACCAACACGCTCTATCTGTCTGCTTCAGACGTCCTGGGAATGAATGTCGATCTTCACATGTGACGAACTAAACTAATAAATGAAGAAAGTGTATGATAATGTATCTTTAGCCTCGTTCAGGAGAAAATTTATCAAAATTGCTCTTTGGTTGGATTCAGTTGATTGGTTCGACGCTTCCTAATTCTGACGCCTGACCCAACAGACAATCTTAACTTAATTTAGGTCGACCCAAATTAGAGTTTGGTTTATCTCATGAAAAGTTTGGCGTCTGGTCTAGGTTAGACTAATCACATGCCTGTTTAAGGCTATTGGGTAAGTAAGTGAGTACCCCCCACTCCAAGTGGTGGTGGAAGAAGAAGTAGTTTAGCCAAGTATAAGGTGTTTCTAGGGGAAAGAGAGAAGAGCTAAGCGAAAAGGGGAGACGGCCTCTCTCCTGTCCCCTAACCCCTAAGGGACGTTCCATTTTTATCTGCAACCCCCCACGGCGCTTCTCCCTGGAAGGAGGCAGGTTTTTTAATAGGGGTTTCTGATGTTGTTTTCAAAGAAGCCGACAAAATAAAAAATTTTGCCAAGGAGCTGACAAAAAATGAACCCTTCGGATTTCATTTATTTTTCACAGGGCGGCGACAAATATTCCAGTCATTTTTCCGGGGGGAGGGGTGCGGATAAAATTGTCAAAGAGAAGAGAATCCGTGAAGAAGTGAAAAAGTGACCAAGTGTGGCCAATTGCGTTTAAATTATCACTCACCATGCACTTTTGAGTAACAACTCGGCCAGCGTTTCGGTAGACATCAGCATTAGACAACTGAAACTTTGACTTTGAGGAGCCCATACAACTGGCCCTAAAACAAAAAACAGTGCGCAACCACACCGCAATGAAGGAATATTAAGCTCATGAAAACAAAGGCAATTATTGAATTTCGTTGCAATGAACGCAAAAGATAGAAACAGTTTCTAGCATATGATTGTCGACGCCTCATTCTTCGGCATATTCAAACCAAATAGTGCACTTATAAATGCAAAAACATTCAGCTTGCCAAAAGCGTACCTATTAAAGACGTGAATTCTCGCAGGATTGCCTCGCAGACACCTCGCTCGAAATCTACGAAGTTTCTGACCGATCGTTCACGATTCTTCCGAAAGAAATACCGAGGACTCCCGACCGACCACCCGACTGACTTTTTCAACTCATTTCCAGACTTCCCAGTTGAATTTCAAGATGGCGGAAGCATCGTTTTCGTAATGGAACTGTCACCAACAAACTTCCTTGCCCAGCTTACTTCTCTCTTGATGAAGTCAAATGCTGTTATAGTCTAACCTAAAGCTGAGAAAAATTTGAATGACAATCAAACTGGGGCTCATAAATGACGTCCAGGTGCGGTTTTTATGCCCAACCGATTTGGATGAGGTCAAACGGCTCTGTCGTGAATGGTTTCCAATCGAGTAAGTTTATACAGAAAGAGAGGTTTAGTTTTTAAAGGGAGTAGCAATTAAACTTTTTTACAAAACCTATTCAAAAATGTAGCATTCAAGAGAGCTGAAGCTCTTTTTAATGCAATTTTTGTTTAAAAAAGGACGCGAACAGACTTGATCGGGCTTGATACGTTCTTGTTGTCGTCATGTCAAACTTTAGTAAAGCTTAAGCTTAGCGTTCGTTTATTACCCGATTACCGTGCTTTGGTAGACCAGGTGCAAAAACATATGTAGTTTTTTAGATTATATAAAAGGTAAAAGAAATGAACAACACTGTATTACTCAACGCAACAGTTTATTAAGTTGAAAAACAGCTGAAAATAGTAGTCAAGGACTTTGAGTGACAGTAGGAGAACTTGAAACTTTGCCCTGTGAAGCATGCCAGATGAAAAATGCGTATGACTTGAGTTATATTTTTAAAGTAAAAACATTCCTAGATATTTGAATATTTACAGCTATGTTATGTGATTTTTCCCTCTTGTAAAAAGTGCCCAGTTTTTGTAAACAAAAGAGGCAGCAAAATACAGAAATTGAGTGCTTAAGCCTTGTTCAAAAGCAAAAGTGTTTTGCCTGTTATTGTTCAGCATGTACTTTTCTTTATCAATTGCTACAGTTTGTAAATTTTCCCCAGGTTTTGAATTCAGGGCTTTGTTGATCTGACCTGGCTACATAGCGTGTGAGTCCGCATGATCACAAACCCTAGATTTGTTTTTATTCATGCATTGAGCAGCTCAGCCTGTGCTTTAGTAGATTCCATTTCACAATTTGCTTTTCTTTCATAGAGCACAGGTGATGTCAAAATGTGGTAAGAACAAAAAATTGAAGATGTAGATGAGCCATAGGCAAATGTTTCACTGATATCCTTACCACATTATTTTTCATGTCTTCCATGATCTACATTTCTAACAAAACAGACTCACAGAAAAATGGAATCTATTTGTTTTATATTATATGTGCAATGAACAGAGAATGGTCAAACATGCCTTGTAGCTCTAAAGATTTGATCCAGTGTAGGCCTTTACTTGCTCAGTGTGGAATAATTTTACAAAATGTAAAAAATGTTGTCTATGTTGGACAAAGCAAAGAGAACCATTTTTCTGCAATATCCAATTGCATACTCTGAAAGACCATCTGCAAACAAACAATCACAGTGTACAATGCAAAGCACTCAGTATTTTGTATAAGACAAACTCATCAAAATAGAAGAGGTTACTTAAACTTTTTTTCAATGCTGATCGCATTATTTTTCTGTATGTTTTGCAGATACCCTGATGTCTGGTATGACGAGATAACATCAAGTTCCCGGTTTTTTTCCCTAGCAGCTACACTAAACAAGAGCATCATTGGTCTTCTTGTAGCAGAAGTCAAAACAAAGTCTCTCTGTAATAAAGAGGTATAAAAATTGTTTATCTGGAGGTGATAAACTTACATCTGTTTAAAAATAATGTACTGTAAAAAGCCTTCTGTTAAATACATGTAGCTTTTACATTATACTGGTGGCAGGCTGACTTAGCAAACAGAACGGGAACATCAGTTGGTGACGGGAAAGCATGCAAAAAGGACTGAACACGACTTCTGGTGCCCAGTTTGCCACTCTGCCATTGGTCAAGCCATTTGTTTGATTTGCGTGGGCTGTCGTCAACTGACTTTCCTGTACTGTTGCTAAATCAGCCTTGTCATGTGCAAAACTGTTTATGTCTTGCAGGACAGTGGCATTCTTTCCTTCACATTTAATGATGACACCCTTGTGGCATATATTTTAAGTATTGGTGTGGTTAAAGTGTATAGAAGACATGGAATAGGTCAGTAATAAGTTGTAGGAAAAGGTGGATTTGTTATCAGGATAAATAACATACAGATGGTGGCATTGCAACCACTGATCTTTTTAGAGTGAATCCTACATTGTGTAAGAGTAGGGGCCTGCCAGTTGGATGAAAGGAATGTTGTGTTTCAATTTTATCCTTGGTTTGAAATTTCTTTTCCTTTATTTTTTGTGGAGTGTAATGACTGATAATGAGTTTAAAACAAAAGAAAATACTGGTAAACATGTATTATTTTCAATAATAGCTAGTCTCCTGCTATCCAAATTGTCTAAAACATGACTTCTCTTGTCATTCTATATCCTTTTAATATTTTATTTTTATTATTTTTATTATTTCAGGGTCTCTACTTTTAGACAGTTTACTCTCTTATCTCACCACACCAGAGAGACAAAACTGTAAAGCTGTGTATCTTCATGTTTTAACCACAAACTCAGCCGCAGTGCAGTTCTATGAAAGAAAACATTTCAGCCAGTTCCGCTACCTTCCCTTGTATTATGCCATCAATGGAACCCACAAGGATGGCTTTTCCTATGTGCTCTACATCAATGGTGGAGAGCCACCATGGACGCTTGCATATCCTTTCAAAACTCCTGCTGTACATGTACTTTTTGGGTTAGGTTCTCGTAAGGGCGGTCGGATTTTCTTAGTACTATTGGAAAATGGAAGGAAAGCTTTGGCAAGGCATTTCTCATCCAATTTGTACCTATTTTTAGTCTATTGTAGGTACAGTCTTGGTTAATAATAATTGTTTGCCGACATTACGGTAAACTGTTGGTAAGGGGTTGGTTTAATTTGCCACGTAAAAAATCGAGAAGAAAACTGGACCAAATTAACTTTCGCAAAGAGCTGACTGGCGCATCCCCAGTAATGATGGGACATACTGCAGCTCCAGTTCCCTAGTTGTTTTAAATAAAAGTTAGTGGCAAATTGTTGGCTTTCTGTCGATTGTGGGGAATTTTTCTTTACAATGCTAGAGTAAAGTACCAAGTGAGGCCTAGTAACGATTAAATTGCAACAAGCTAGTGACTTGGCCTTGAAACAGCAACGTAAGGCGTATAAAATGGTGAGAAATGACATCAAGATGGGTATTGAAATAAGTAGGCTGATTTAGCAACAGAACGGGAACATCAGTTGACGACGGGAAAGCACGCAGAAAGGACTAAACGCGACCTCCAGTGCCCAATTTGCTGCTCTGCCATTGTTCGAGCCAGTTGTTTAACTTGTGCACGCCATCTTCAACTGACGTTCCCGTTCTGTTGCTAAATCAGCCTATTATTAAACTGGGGACCTTCATGTATCTGTCCCCCCTGCCTTCCCTCTAGGGCCTTGTAAGTACCTTTGCTAGTAATTTTTTTCTCATCAGAAGTTTTATCCTTAACTTAAATCACTGATGCATTGAAGTTTATTGGAGGGAAATTGTCCCAGCTGCGACCGTGCAAGCTACCATTATATTTGATGAGTTGGTGCTATCACTGGTTACTGTGGGTCACTCCTATCCAGGCAATGAGAGACTCGTGTGTGCGTACAATGTAGTATTGCCTCAATATTAGCCCTTATCTGGTTTTGTTTTGCTTGACCTTTAGCAACGTTTGGTATACTGTTGTATTGTAAGGAGCATGGTAATCTTTACACTAGGTAAATCTCAGGCTTCTTTAACTTTGCATCTCATTTAAGTCAGGAAGTTGAGAGTTTCAGGTGACTTAAAAATGATCCTTATTAGCAACTCTTATCAACTTGTGGTTTTTGATTTCTTGAGCTGCTGAGCAAACTGAATACCATACATGTATTATTAATCATGTGAAAAAGTAAATTAAGTGAATGCTATGTCCAAAAAAAATCCTTTGCTTGTGTGGGAACCATTTAGTCAGAAAAATTTACTTGACTTGAAATGCTCCTCAGAACTTGTCAGTCAAAGCGGTCATTTTTAAAATGAAGTTTTAGTATTTTTCCCAAATTTTAACCAAAGTCCATCACTGCTGTGCACAGTATTTAAAGGGGGGCACCTTCCATCAGTGTCCATTGCAGTCGTGCACTTCATTGAAATCATTTGCTGTAATACAGAAGTTACGAACATTCTGATTGTGTTTGAAAATCGGATTGTATCTTCACAACCTAAGGCAATAGCAGGCAGTGATACCCTTGTTAAAAGAAACGTATATACAATCTTGTTATCAAACACAGAAATCACATTCGTGACTTCTGTATTACACCAAATGATTTTGGTGAAGTTCATGGCTGCAATGCACACTGGTTGAAGGTGCCCCTTTAAGATGGCTTGAGAGTCCTGGTTAATAGTGGAATTCTCCTTATGACTGGGCTGTTCTGGACTGCCAGTTCTGGCAAATGGTAAGTGCCCTGACGATCTAGTGTAAAGACTATGTATCAAAAGAAAATTGAATGGTTCCAGGAATACCCAACCCATTGGAGGGTCATTGGAATTTCCAAGGGAGGGGAAGGTCTTTAAAGGGGCTGTGTGACTGCTGTCTAGTCAATTTTGTTTATGATGGCAAAGTTTTATCCGTCTTTATTTGCTATGAAACTTGAGAAATAAATTTGCTGGTGAATGACAAAATCACAGCTTCATGTTAAACAAATATATCTCCAAAGCATTATTTCAAAGGTTACAAACAACAAAAATGAACTTTGAAAAACTGCTAGGCTAACAAAAGTTTTCAAAGCCCACAATAATTGCAATCCATCTTAATCTTCTGCTAGTTAGTCCAAGTGTGCATCCTTTTGTCTTTGCCGTTATTTTTTTATACCTTCTTTTCATATTTTGAGTAGTTATTTTAATTTGTCCCTTTGTTTGATTTTTTGATCAATCTCATTACACAGCTCCTTTAAGGCCAAAATTTTCAAAAGAACATATGAGCTATAACTGGAAAACAAAGTGGGTTGAAGGAAGGGAGGGGGCCCTAACCACAAACCCTCCTTGGGGGGATAGGGGGGGTGGGGGGTAAAGATGTTCTCTGGAAGAACGTGTCTAGTGATTTCCAAATTTGTGAATTAACATTTGAAGCTCCAATAGTGCCCAGCATCTTTTTTCTCCTTTCTTCCTTTCTTCCTCATAATTTATTTGTTCTGTTTTGAGTTGTCCTGTACAAATACATTTTGTAGAATTGACTGGTAAGCAAACTACATTTTTTACCACTTGAAAAACATTTTGTGGGTGAAAAATAGAAACTGATTCACAATAATGTTATGGTAATCAATATAATATTATTGTAAGTAGAAATCATTATGACATTATGTCAAAGGTTTGCTGTAAAATGACCCACTCTTAAATTGCTTTTAATATGATACTATTTTAAAGGATAGAGTTAGCTTAATTCCATTAGTTAGCCATTTGTACATGTAGGTTTTGAAGCATTTCTTTTTTATTGCTGTCCTGGAACAAGGTGTCGAAACGGCCAGCATCCTGCACCTTGAATGTGTTCTTTTCTTTTCCTTTTTTTTCCGACAAAATTGGAACACAGCCATTAATTCAGTTATCTCGGTTAAAAGTGTTAGAAAAATACTCTCCAACTTTGAGTAAGTCTTTGCCTAATAACAGGAATAATATTCTGGCTGTTAGAGGAAGTATTTAAACCAAAACAGAACTGTATTTATCTAATTTGGTCTCTTGTTTTTTATCATGATTACTTTTGTAACTAATAACAAAATGTCATCAGTCTTGTACAAAATTAAACGCTGTGGCTTTCAAGTTGTAAACCTATGGAAAAAATAAATATGTGTACATGCTAGTCTGAAATGTCATCCATCTCTTCACCCTATCGCCCCACCCCCTAACAGACACCTCTTGCGGGGTAGGGCTGAGAGATGGATGACATTTCAGACTACTTACATGCTTGCAATTTTCATTATTTTGGATTGAGACTTGTTGATTTACACCATAAAGAGGAAAATTTATGCAACGTAATTAATAATATTTATAAGTAGTACCCTTTTGTTATTGGTCAATTTTGCTTAGCAATCGCCCTTATGCATGTTTACAACAGAAGAGGAAGTGTTTCACCATCAAGCCTTGTTTTGAAATTGTAAAGTTGCTAAGTTTTGCATAAATGAAATCCCAAGGCAGTAGAGTTGAAGGGAGTACTGTAAAATTCCGAAAATAAGCCCTACGGCTTATATTTTTCAAAAGCTCTTTTCGAGGGGCTTCACAATCGATTGGGCGAGCCTTATTATTGGAAGTAAATTCACCGTTTTTGCTTCGTTTTAATTAGTATTTGAGGGCAATTTTCCAAGTACAAGCCCCCGGGGGGCTTATGTTTGGAGCGGCGACTTAATGGAGGGGCTCATTTTTGGAATTTTACAGCACCCAGACACAAAGAATGCAAATGCCAAGAATATTACTCATAAACGAGGCATAAGGGCCATTATGTAGAGCAAATTGATGTGGAGGTTATATAGAGAGCCAAATATGGGCAGTTTATTACGAGAGGGTAACTCCCATAAAAATGACAGGGGTGCTCGTGAGAAATTTTCAACAATAGTGTTGTGGGTATGGCTCAGTTTATTTCTCTCCCAAGTAAAGGGGTGCCAACGTAGTTTGCACTTAAAATTTTAAACAGTGATATAGACAATTGAGTTGAGTAACAAATTAATAGTTCCCATCATATTTCTGATTCATACACTATAAGACCGTGAAATAGGTAGTAGAATACTATGCACTATTATGCACTAATTCCATAGATCTTTTTCATAATGGGAATATTGGTCCTAAGTGATATGCTTGCACCCCTGTCATTTTTTTAGGAAAGTATCGCTGGGCTATCATTTGCCATTTGCACATCGCTCATAATGCCACCTAGTTTGCCTTGCATGAGCATTGTCTTTATTTGTCTTGGGACCACTTTAATTACCAAGAGAAAAAAAGAAAGGTTACGCAAAGGGAGGGGCGAACAAGGTGTATTATGGGAGATGTGCAAATGGTGAATGCACTTAAAAAAAAAAAAGATTTCTTGTTTTGAAAGTCATTTTTTACGAGATCAAGATTTCAGAACTTCAAAAAAAAAAAAAAAACACAGAAAAAAAAAGTAACATTTTTTTTGGCTTTTTGAAAGTCATTTTACGAATCAGCCATTTCTGTATGGAACTGTAATGACCTGTAATGTTTCAAAAAAAAAAAACACAGAAGATGCGTTCGTAAGGCTTTGAAATGACGATTTCAATTTCACATCCTGTAACATTTAATTTTCACTGTCGCGTGATTTCGAAGATAATATTCAAATAAACGGCTGGCGCGTAAATGCAGAAGTTTTGTACGACACTTGCGATGGTTGATTTATGGGAAACTTTTTGTTTTGTGTATAATGATTAATTTAAGTTTAATAAAATAAAGCCATTTGATCCTTGAGCTGTAATGCACAATAACCCCCTGATTATTTTGCATGAAACCGTTCAGGGGCGGATCCCTGTCTCTTGCTCTACTTCAACACCAATAAACCACCAGAATACCAGTTGTATTAGAAAATCCGGGGGGGGCACCCCCCTCCCCTAGATCCGCCCCTGCGTTCACTCGGTCAGAGGGCATGTCCATTTGGGGGACAGAGCACACCAGAAGAGCTTGTGATTTTGCATATTTTTCGAGTGTTTTACCAGCAACTCAAGTATTAGTACAGTGGAAAACCACTCACGTACGCATTCGGGCGGACTTTCACTGAAATTTCCACTAAGAATGAATGGAAAGCACAGAACTCAATCTGATCAAGCGCGTTTTTTGACATAAAATATTCTGGGCCGTTCTTACGAAAAACCAAAGAAACAAACAGGCTCAAGTATAATTTATGTACATAAAAAAATCAGTGTTAAAAAAAGCCAGTATACACACCATAGCTGGACACGTAAACCACTACAAAGTAAAATTAGTCCTGACCAGCAAGGGCACCAAACGCATGTTACTATCTCTCTTCTCTAGTCTCTTTTGTCCTTGCTTTTGTGTTGTTATAGTTCATTTGTCTTGGTTTAAAAAGCTAAGATTTGGATAAGTTTAAGTTTAATCATGCTTTTTACCACTGTACAAAGATATACTACAACTTATAATAACAACCATCATCATAAAAACTATACATAAAAGTTTAGTAGGTAAAGGAAAGCAATAGGGGGAAACTGAGTTCCCACGTAGAAACCACTCTCCAAAACTAAAAGATAGTACATTTAAAAATAGAATTTCTAATATATAACTGTACGTTATGTAAGCAACAAAAAAACTAGAGGAACTACTAAGATAATTTAACAAAAATGTCGATTATTGTTTATTGAAAATTATCTCTTTCGTGCGCACCCTTTCGTCAGCAGCCGCAAATGTGGTTACAATTTTTGAATGGGGCGGGGACGAAACAATTTTTGATTGGAATAATAATTTCTTACTGCACGTTTCTATGTTGAGAGAACAAAGGTTGTTTATCACATTATGAACATGTACGGAAAATTAGCATTTCAAATAAATTCTTGCCAGTCGGAAAAGCCTGATATTTTGATGGGAGAGGAACACCTTGCTAAGTCGTGAAAACTTGCCTCTGTAAAGGAAACCTGACGAGTGTTTGCTCTACAGAGAAAAATTAAAGATATTTTATTTTCAGGAGTATGCGGTTTTAATGCAGATTAACGACAAAGCCGTTCCCAGGTTCAAAAATAAGAAGAGTGAGAGGTGAAGACATTTATACAAAAGCTAGTGACAACTATTAGCTCACCTGACACAGTCTCGTGGTTTCTTTTAAATGTTCTTTTCGTCGGATGGCGAGTTTTTGCTGTCAACGTGCCTTGTGCTTCCTGGGCGTAGAATGAAGTTTGTCCTAATTAGGTATAGTCTCTTTTTAACCAATCAAAAACAAGCAATGTACGTGAACGTTAATGCATCCTTTTCTTTTATGACAAGTGTCAAGCATGCGCTTGCACATCGATGTAGCTGTTTACTAAAAAACCTTCATCAACTCCGCGGTCGACACTGACTCGAATTGTAAAAAAGGTTAATTAAAAGGCTGCGGGAGAATCTAAAAAAGGATTTGTGATCTCAGATGATATGGATTCCTCTACCAACCTCGTACCCAGGCCAGTTCGCGCTATCCGAGTTACCAGAGGAGGCTTGGAACCGAGTGCGATAGTGCGAATTTTCCCGACAAGCTTGACAGGTGACGTCCTATCCGAAATCGCCAAGGACGATTGGGAACGAGGCTGCTCACTACCAAAAAAAAAACCGAAAATGATCAGAAAAAGGATCATTAGTTACCATGACAACGGCATGTCCTCGTGCTCCTCGAGTTGAAAAAACAGAGGACTTAGAAAAACAACAAACTGATACTTGGCGGCGAAGACAAGAAGGATAAGCAACATAAACTACGTATGAATATACGAAATGTATGTATTTCGGTTTGAAACGCAAACGTTTCTCGCATAGAATGCACCTTGGAGCAGACACTACGTAAGTGCGAAAAAACATGACAACTAAGGGTTTAAAAACAGTATACGAATGTAAATAGATGACAAACGTGGAATGATATGTAACTAATAGCTCAAAGTCGAGGCGCCACCAACATAGGTTCAGGTAGAATGTTATACATGTATCGCATCTGCTGTGTACCATACCGCTTGTCAAAAATTCTTTGTCCAAATCCTTTCCCAAAAAACGAACAGACTGTGAAACTCACAAATGCGGATTTGGATTTGATCCGAAGAATCCACATAGCTTGTGGATTTCATGGATTCATGATCCTTTTTTGGATTTGGCCCAAAAAACGCAGCCTTAAGTAATGTGCAGATCCTGACAACTTAGTTTGCACGTACATCACGCGTTTTGGTATATTTCGTTGCATCCACTGCACACGTACAAAAAGAACGCGATATTTCCGATTCTCGTCCCTAGAGCCCGTCGTTCGTTCAGCCGAATGGCTCTGAGGACGAGAATGCATATTTTAAAAGTATTGAGCTTGCGTACTAGAGAGCAATGTGAGAGCGTTTGTTTTGTTGCCTTTCATAGGCAATATAAACAAACTACAATGTTTTAAAATTTGGCAGAAATCCCGTTCATATTGCACACCAGTCAATGAAACTTGAAAGCCTCAAAATAATGTGACACAATCAAGTTTCTCATCAAAGTTATTTTCTCAAAACTTTCAGAAACTGTTTGTCATAATTTGGTTAAGTTGCTTTCTTAAAAACGAAAGCTACTAATTGTAGCTGATCGGGCTGTGTGGCAAATCTAATGACAGAAAATTTTGCGAATTTTGTGTTTGTTTTTAATCATCCACGTTGCCATGGAAACGATCTAATTCTTACGTTTAACCCAATAAAGGCAATGTCATCTATGTATTTTGTGCACGCCAAATTTGAGCTTTATACCTGCAACGAGTCTTAAATTACACCCCAATGAATGACAACGATTCGCAACTTATCAAACTATGTCAAAAGAACATAAAAGTGTTCTTTTGACTGTGTTCAGCCACCTTGACAAACGTTCTTTAGAAATGACAAAAATGAGACATTAATAGTGCATTAATACGAGGAAAGGACTCAGCATTCATAAGAGGTGTCTTGAATGATGCGGTGCGCCCCTAGTTTAAGACGCGTCTTGCGCATTAAAAACGTCTTATTTTTGAGTCCCGAGTCTCTTTTGTTCTCAACAAAAGCCTGTATTCGCAGGCTTATTTTTTTTAATGGCTGATTAATTCTTCACTTATGCCATATTGGCCAGGCCCAAAAAGGCCTTTCTTTGATCCCGCTATTAGTCATTTGCTTGAAGATCGATTTAGACACTCAAAGAGGCACTCCGTGGGCTGTAAATATCGCAAACCTTTTTATTGTTCTCTATCAGTGCCTATGCAAGAACAAAACATCTTTATAAAGTATTTCGTGAATTGTGTTGTCTTAGCGGAATTTCTTTAGGTACAAAAAAACCATTATTCTCTGACTTCTGTTATTTTAGAGACTTCAGGTAGTTACAACTAAAAGATAAAGAAAACTTAAAAGTACAAAATTATATTAAAGATTAGACTAGAAATGGTGTTCGACTAATTTTCTCGCTGAAAACCACTCGCCAGAGTAACAGCAGCTAAATAATCGTCGGCCGAGTAGCGATTCTTCAAGCAGGAAACCTGGAACAGTTTCTCGTAACTGCTCGAGGATGGCACACTGGTCAGGAAGGACGGGCTAGCTGAAGCTGATACAGGCGGGCCAAGCATTGGGGTGACAGTTTGTGGATCCTGTGAAGCGTCTGGTGTCATATTGGCATCGAAGTGGCCGTGGAAGAACAAAGGGCTGCTGGCAAATGGCGGGAAAAAAGGTTCACTGGATCTGAAGGGCGCTGATTGCAGTGGCGGGAAACTGGCAAGCGACAGCTGAAATATGCTGGTTGGGTTGCTGATATCACTGTTGGGGCCCGTAGATGGTTGGTTCCTTAAACTCTTGCGCCATCTCGATCTGCGATTTTGGAACCAGACCTGAAAGTAACAGCCATTAAACAATGTTAGAAACTAGGTAAACACCTGACGAAACTGGAGCATGGAATAGCTAACAAAGCAAGATATAATACATTGTGGAGAAAATGCTTGAGTCAATAGCTTTCATTGGAAGTAGCTTGTGCCTTGAACCTTCAGTTTCACAATCTATGAAGACCAAAATCATCGGAGATGATTTAAATCATCAATCATCGGATTTGAGTTAAAGGTACAACATAGGAAAGAGAAGGTTTAGCATGAGAAAAAGCGAATTACGGCTTCCTTGTATTAAATGGCATTCCGCTGTATAAATCATTGCCTCTGTGTCAGTGTATAATCCCAGGAAAAACTAAAACTGCTGTGCGCAAACATCTCACTTGAATTCTGTCCTCTCCAATGCCAAGTTCCCTTGCAAGTTCTTCACGTATTTGGAATCCTGGGAATCTATCTTGTTCAAATGACTCCTCTAAGCGATCAAGTTGCTCGGTGGTAAAAGCCGTTCTGCGGCGCCTTTTGCGAAGTGCATTTCCTAAAAATCAAAAAGAATAAATTGTGTTCAGGCAGCCATGGCAAAGCATGTTAATAAACGACACATTCAAGGAACAACTAATCTTAAGGTTTTTTTGGCTAAACCAGATGTATATCCTACCCCTTAAAGGTACTGCGTCATGGTTGTACAGTTCATTTTGTTAATATTGCAAATTACGCTTCCAGTTATGGGCTATGGAACTTAACGTAAACGAAGACAGAGGCCACAGTAGCTCACGGTAGAATTTAAACCTAGTGAAGAATTCTGTTTTACGTGCAAAACCGTACCAGTACATAAAAACTAAAACAAAAACTTTGAGAAAAAGATTTTTAAGCATAAAGTTTCACAACTTTTGAAGAGACAATGCACAGTTCCGTAATTTTACTTTGATGCGCGCGAGATTTGCAAGCTTTTCACTTGAAGTTATTTAATGGGTAAGATAACTTGTGACGAATAGTCCCCAAGTTAACTAAGTCAAGAGTGAGATTCTATCGCTTACCTTCTTTCTCTGGAGCTGCTCTTTTCAAGTTTGTCCTTGAAGCCATAATATTCAGTAAAACATATATTTAGCAACAAGAGCAACGTTTACTAGGCAAACGTTGAAGTGTGAACGATGGTGTGAAGAATTCACTTCTTTATATGCCTATGGACGCTTTATGATGATTCGCGGGCGCGCAAAATAACCATTCAAACAATAACCTCTTTACTGACTTAATTAGAAAATTACCTCGCAACTCAAATGTTTGATCACTTGCGAGGTTTCGCTTTTGTTATGCGCTAATCAAATGCATTTGTTTCATTTGTTAAGACGCTAAGCACTGATAAAAAAAAGTATATTACGTGAGATCAAACCTATGGGAGTAAATTTTGTGAACTCCACCTAAAAAGTTGTTGGTTATTTTCACTTTTCGTACGATAAATAATTGTGGAAATAAGAATCTATAAATAAATAGGTGTTTGCAAGGAATTTTTAATCAAAAGACACGTGCTACTTCATCAGGTCACACATATAAATGTGACTACAGTGAGACCTTGCACAACGAACCTCTATAAAACGAAGTCCTTGCTATAACGAACGATTTTCTTTACCCCAGTAACAAAAAAAACATATGAAAAAGAACCTCGATATAACGAAAACTCGTTTTAGCGAACAAATTTGCCAGTCCCTCGGCCCTTCGTTATATCAAGGTTTTACTGTAGTTTAAAAATGAGTGTACACTGGCCCGGTCTGAAAAAGGGACACTTCCAAATTCTTTGTCACTCGACTGAGTCCCCGTACGTCCACACGTATCCGGATATCTTTGAATTCGCGTTTCACGTCCACACGTAGCATATTCAAATCGAATTTGCCCATCCACACGTATCCGAATATCTTTGAATTCGCGTTTCACGTCCACACGTAGCATATTCAAATCGAATTTGCCCATCCACAAGTATCCGGATTCATTCCTAGTTCATCAGCCAATTTCACTAAATTTGTAAAGCGACCCTTGGCTCATGGGAAAATTTTCTCGCCATTCTTCTGACAAAAGCTAATAAAAGCACTGCTAGCTAGTTCGCTCGTTTAATTTGTTTACGACGTCCAATTTGTCCGTCCGATAAGGAACGGAAGCCTCATAATGTCGATCCGCCTTTTGTCACAATTGTCAGAACTCGGTGTTCAATAGTCATAACTCCGTTTAAAAGACTTGAAGTAAGTCCAAATAACATTGCGCTCGGCAGCCATCTTAAATATCAAAGGTAAAAAACTGGGCTCGATCATGTTAGGCCAGGTCGGATAAAAATATATCCGGATTTAGCGTCCGCACGATTCCGGATTCGTAGCGTATTCAAAAATTTCCACTCTGGAGAGCGGATTCGTATGCCGGATTCATCGGATACGTTGTTGAGGAAAGCCGAATCCGCAAAGAAAACGTTGCGGATTCACAAGTATCCGTATCCGTGTGGACGGGGCTGACTCGAACTCAGTTATGCGGTCTCGTTACATTGCTCGCGCTTTTGTTCATGATGCTCTCGTTGACTTGTTAGCTTCAACTGAAGGACCTCAACCCTCTACAACTAGGTTGAGGCTCTTGCGTTGTAGTTTATTTTCTTACGCTCCTATGAATTATTTTGCATCTTCTTTACTCTTGCAAATTCTTCGTGAAATTCCACTTAACTCAATTTAAGCCTCTTTGCCATTTACCACACGTTTTGAACTACAGGCCTACATCTTTATTCGTAAAAAGCTATTTACATGTGAATGGATTGGGATTGCTAAAATTGTCAATAAAGTTCATCAGAAGCACTTAGACCAATGATTTAGAGTTCATATTTCAGATTCAAAAGCGCGCTAGACGTTCTGTTCTTTTCCTGCTAAAATTAAATTGCTAAGCCGCGAATGAATATACGAGTCACTCCGCGGAACGTCTCGACAGCGTAATGCGATACTGGTCTTCATTACGCGCGTTGGTGCCGGTATCGGGCAGCACCGTAGTTGCTAGTGATTGGTGCATTAGTTGAGCTCACGTGGTTGGCGGGTTTCGATCCGAAGCATTGTTTAAATCTGGCCTTCCCTCAGCGGTCCGCTTAGCTGCGTGGCAGGCGTTTGAAAGGGAAGGGAAAGGGCGTTTTGGGAAAGCGAGTTTTAGGCGCGAGAGAAACGCGAGGGGCGTCCCTCGCGTTTTGCGTTTCGCGTTTCTCCCTTTCCCTTCCCTTTCAAACGCCTACCACGCAGGCCACGGTTCGCTCTTCTGCTGTGTTGTCTGATCGAAGGCATTCACGCTTATTCTGAAATCTCAATTCCACTGTCTCTGTAAGGCAAAAATACCATCGGTAAGCCGCATAGGATTTCATCATGACGTGTAAAAAAATTCGCTGTCGCGGAAGGTGAAACCAAAGTCTTACCGTAAATCCTCTATTAAGACCCCTGGGGGCTTACTTATTTCAAACACATTCGAGGCCGGGCTTAATAGAGACATGAGGTTATTTGAGAGGGGGGCTTATTTCGCTACGCTCGTAGCAGGCCTATTTCACTCAGACGCCAGTTTGATTCTCGACGTTTGTTAGTAGCACACTTTTCCTCGCTTTCGTGTGGATCGAAAGGAGCGACATAAAGTGACATACAGACCGAATCACGAGTTGGGCCCATTTTCTCTGATCCGTGACAAACAAACTGAACTGAGTGGTAGCCAATGTGCCAAACGACCCGTTGTGGTCGCAAACAAAATGAGGAAATATGCTCGGTGTCAAACGAGCGCGAATGCTCTCGGTGGGCAGTGTGCCAAGTGACCCAGTTGAGCCAAAAACAACAATCAGAGACACCGAAGACTATTAACTAATTAACACATTCCTTCCTTTGTACTATAATAAAATTTAGACATTAGTACCGAAAATTTCCCATATATTCTCCAAGAATTAAGAAACATGATAACTAAACCCTCTGCTGGCAGCACTTCACCTTCCAAAGGAACCACTAGTATTAGTTCTCTATAACGAACTAGAATACAAAGTAGAAAAGCTTAAGTACAAGAAGTTGGAGGTCATACAGCCAAGGATCAAAAACAAATCCGAACTTCCAGTTGGTGGATAAACAGTCCCGGATCAGTCCACACGAAGTTTTACAGTTGTGATTGATTAGCATTTATTAGTGAAGAATGATAAGGGGGAGGGGAGGGAGCTGTTAACTTTCTTCCCCTCAAACGTGGGGGGGAGGAGGCTTATTTGAGAAGGGGGGGCTTAACAGAGGATTTACTTTACCACTACTACTACTACAGAAAAACCAACAACTAGAAAACTAAGCGTCGTAAAGTAAAAAGATGCAAATGTCGTCCTTATTCATGGTTAGAGCTCTGAATTATTTTCTCAGGCTTGCTTTTCGCAACCGCATAAGTAAAGTATTTAACTGTGATGATCTTATCTTCTCTGCTGCATTTATTTAACTGTGATGTTCTTGTTTGCATTTATTTTTTTATTTGTCGCCCCATGTGAGGAAATCCAAGACAGTCTTGGATTCTGAATTTCCACGCTGTGGATTCTGGATTTCAGGAACTGTATTCTGGATTTTAGCTGTGGATTCTGGATTCCATGCTGTGGATTCTGGATATCAGGAACTGGATTCTGAATTCCATGCTGTGGATTCTGGATTTCTTCAACTGGATTCTGGATTCCAAGCTGTGGATTCTGGATTCCATGCTGTGGATTCTGGATTCTGGATTCTGGATTCCGGATTCCATGCTGTGGATTCCGGATTTCAGGAACTGGATTCTGGATTCCAAGTTGTGGATTCTGGATTCCATGCTGTGGATTCTGGATTTCAGGAATTGGATTCTGGATTACAGGAGCTGGATTTCGGATTCCATCTCAGTGAAACTTGGATTCGATCCTCATTCCACTCGCGGGATTTCGGATCCTTGAGCTCAGTGCTCTACGGATTCCAAAGCCCAGAGAATTCCGGAATCTACAAGCAAAAATTTCCCGGATTCTGAAATCCGGATTATCTTAATATATGCATGCAGGATCCAATTTATTTTCTATGTTCTAAAAGATTGTGCGTACTTAGAGTTAAACTGCCGATGTCAGTATTGTAATTATTGATTAGACAACATAATTTTAAAAGGTGGCCCTATACAAAAGCCTTATTGGCTTCCTTGGGCTCCCTTTCCTCATCTTTTTTCAAAATTTAATATGTATATTTTGTGTTTTTTGGCAAAATGACAATAAAAACAATTTACATCCTGATGCGTGGTGGTGAGTTATCTAAGTCTTAAAATGCCTCGATAAACTGGATCCCTTAACTCACAAATTAGAATGCTTGAGTGCCTTTCCTGGGGCAGCATGCTCTATTGATTTGCTAGAGGCCTTCTTGGCAGCTGTGAAAAAGGGTAAAGGTCTTTTTGCTGTTACCGGTATGCCCATCACAAGAGAGAATAGAGGAAGTAATTTGACAAGCCGGAGACGGCGTGTTCGGCGAACACCTGTCAAATGGTAAAGGCGATGGTGAAGGCGACATATAAAACAAGAGTTTCAGTATTGTTTAACGGCTGATTTTGTTGGTTGTAACATCAACAGTCTTTTACCTGAATTTACACCATCTTCTAAGAAGGAACGTATTCTATGTGGAACTACAGCAGTTTTAAAAAAAGGGAAAAACTAAAAAAAAAAAGGCTTATGACGTTTGTTTTTTGGCTTAAGGCCATTAAAGCCATCATTTATTTAGCAAGACTTTACACATGCACATGGCCTTGTTATGACAAAGAACAAAGAAAAGGAAACAGAAAACAATGTATACCCTATTCTTTAATGGATTAGATACAGTTGTGGTTTGACAAAAGAGATACCGACCCTTAGTCATTAAAGATACTGCATATAAAACACTGTTTCACCTTTCTTTCTAGTACATTCTCTCAACTCGACCAAGTCTTAGAGAAAATTAACATGAACAGGGCAGTCAGTCCTCGGAATGACTGGACAGCGTACTGCGATACTGGTCTTCATTACGAGCTGGTGTCGATATTGAGCAGCACCGTAATTGCTAGTGATTGGTGCATTAGTTGAGTTCAGTCGTGGTTAGTGGGTTTCCATCCGAAGCATTGTTTATATTTGGTGTTCCTTAGGCGGTTCGCTGATAGTACTTCACCGATCTACTGCTGCAGCAGTGTTGTCTGATCGAAGGTATTCACGCTTTTTCTGAAATCTCAATTCCACCGTCTCTGTTAGGCTTAAAATACCATCGGTAAGCCGCACTGGATTGCACCATGACGTGTAAAGAATTCATTGTCGCGGCAGGTGAAATCAAAGTTTTATGATCTGTAGTTGCTTAAATTACATTAAAACTGTTTCACTTCTGGCCTAGGGTAGCTCTTTCAAAAGCTAGCTGCTATTGACCCTTCCTCAATGGTTACCGCTCAATACAGGTTTCGAATGCGTATCTTTTTTGTGACCACTGACTTTACTATTCATTCATAAAAGATATGGTAAGCGTCATTAAAAATAATATACCATCAATTCTCTTTTGCATGTTCCTGGCTTTAAATTATTTCAAACTTGGCCTTGAGGACCCGAGGTTTGATTAGAATAGAGCTCTGAACTGATTTTCTCGGGCATAGTTTCTTTTCGCAACTGCATAAGTAAAGTATAACTGTGATTATCTTCTCGCATTCATTTAGAGTTACTTAAGTTAGGTATTTGTCCCCCCACGTAAGGAAATCCAAGACAGTCTGGGATAGTCTGCAGGATTCCACCGCTGTAGATTCCGGATTTCAGGTATTGGATTCCGGATGCCTAGTCAGTGAAACTTGGATTCAGGATTCCACTCGTTCTTTTGATTTCGGATTCCTTGAGCTCAGTCCGTTAAGGATTTCACAAGTAAAAATTTCCCAGATTCAGGAATCCGGATTATCTTAATATATGCATGCAGTAGCCAATTTACATCCTGATGCGTGGTGGTAAATTATCTAAGTCTTAAAATGCACCGATAAACTGGATGCCTTAACGTACAAATTAGAACTGAGTGCCTTATGGGGCACAGGAGTATGTTCTATTGATTTGCTAGGGGCCTTCTTGGGAGCCGGCTGGGAAGAAAGGTAATAGTCATTTTGCAGTTATGTCCATTACAGTGCAAAACCGCAAGAGAGAAAAGAGGAAGTAATTTGTCAAGAGACGGCGTGTTCGGCGAACACCTGTTAAAGGGTAAAGGCGAGGTTAAATGGTGAAGACGTACAAAACAAGATATTCAACATTATTTAACGGCTGATTTTGTCGGTTGTAACATCAACGGTCTTTTACCTGAGTGTACACCATCTTCTAGGAAGGAACGTAAAGCTTAGCCAAAACAATTAAAGCAGTATCAAAAAAAGAAAAAAAAAACTAAAAAAAAAAGTTTATGACGTGTGCTTTATGGCTTAAGGCGATTGAAGCCATCATTTATTTAGCAGGACTTTACACATGCACATGGCCTTGTTGTGACAAAGAATAAAGAACAGAAGACAAAACCTGAACAATATACCATATTGGTTAATGGGTTAAATATTGTGGTTTAAGATAATGTATATAAAACTCCGCAGAGCATCATTCAGTACAGGCGATTTTGCAAGACAATTCAGCTTAGTACATTTTCTCAGCTCGATTAAGTCCTGGAAAAAATTAACATGAACAGGGTAGAACAGACTGGGCAGAGCGAATACTGCAGCAAAAGTCTTTTCATATCACAGGATGACGAGAGAGGGCAGTGTAACAATCAAAACCAGAAAAAGAAGCAGAGAAAAAGGCGAAATTCGTCTCCTTTCTCTTACATAGAAATAATTGCTTATGCCATCCTTAGCTCACCCCAAAAGCGCGCCACGTTGTCTGAGATATACAGTTTCATCCAGAACAACTATCCTAGCTTCACTGAACATAGAGTACGCTGGAAGAACACTGTCCGCCACAATTTGTCTCTTCATGAATGCTTTCAGCGAGGAGGGATCGCGGTGGATAGAGCTGGCTGTTACTGGCACATTCACCCCAGTTTTGTGATAGCATTTAGCCGCGGAGATTTTTCAAGGCGTAAATCGGTGCACAGCAACGATGCAACTTTGGGTCTGAATGGTTGGAGCAGTTTAGTTGAGAACCACATCGCTATACAGAGCCCCTGCTTGCGGTGCTGCATTTATAAGTCAAACCCACCGTTTTCAGTAGCTGCACCCATGGAACCACTACAGTATCACTACGGGGTATTAACTCCATCGACTCCGTTTTACACATTGCCTACCTACATAGTCTCACCGGATATTAAACGGAACAAATCAAGTGCGAACCTTTAAATTTTATCCACGAGCCTGAAAGATACACTTATTTGTCTTATTTATTGTCTCCAAAATGTTGACATAAAGTTTTCGCATATCCAACATAAATAAGAAAGATGTAAATGGCATGCAGAAAAATTTTCAAGGCGTAAATCGGTGCACAGCAACAATCCAACTTTGGGTCTGAATGGTTGGAGCAATTTATAATTAATTGAGAGCCACATCGTTATACAGCGCCCCTGCTTGCAGTGCTGCATTCATAAGTCAAACCAATAGCCGTCTTGGTCAAACACATCAATTTCAGTAACCGCACCCATACTACGGGAGCTCAACTCCATCGACTGTGTTTCACTCATTGCCTATACCTACATTGGCCTCACTGGCGGAACAAATGTGTTGCCAAGTGTGAACCTTTAAATTTTATCCAGCCTGAAAGAGACATTTATTTACCTAATTTATTGTCTGCAAAATGTTGACATACCATATTGTCAAGTGATTAGAATAATAGTTTAAGCCGATCCAACACTGTAAATGGCACGCAAAAATATTTGTTGTAGCATTCAGAGAGTTTTTGTAGACATAAACACTAAAAATATAAGGAGCATTGTCACTTTTTCTTGGGATAAATAAAGATATTATTTCAAACAATGACCTGGAGAGTTGTAAGTTTTTTTTTTGTTTATGACTTCCCCCAATTGGATATAGTGATGCAATAGTATCTGGTCAAAATAGATTTAGATAAGAATCATCCTTACCTATAACAGTCACGGCATCCGATTTGGTTGGCTTCTAGCTACACTAATATTCAAAATTAATATTAAAATACAAATTTTCAGTTGTCAGTGAACTACTTAACAAAGGCGACATCGTTCCCTCAAAAATTACATGCCCATGCAATATAAAACTACGTCCGACAGACGAACTAATAAAGTAAAAGCTTTATGAAGTACCTCAAATTCTCTCTTGTATCTGCAGTCCCCTGAATTGTTAACTCAAAGACACTCTAACTTACAATACTGCTGAATTAAATTTCCTGCAAACGTTTTTAACGTCATGATTGGACGCGGGTGGACGCAAACAGCGAAATTCCGTAAATGTTTAATACAGACCTTGTCAGCAAAGAGGTTTAGAAGACATAGAGCAAATACTACATTTGTATTACTGACAAAATTAACAACTCCAATGCAAATTGTCATCAAAATAGGTCACCAGTATTCCACACTTAAAGAAACGTCTGGAAATTAACACAAAGAGAATGTTCGAGCGCATTCTATGTGGCAAAATAAGTAGTAAAGAATGTCTACATTGTATTCTTGACCGCAAATTATAATTATTTCTTGGTTGTTTAACCGAAACAATAGTTTTGTTTTTGTTTTTATACACTTTTGTCTATAGTGCGTGTTGCGTTCCGTCTTACCTACGTTTAAATTAGTCCGTTGATTTCACAGCTGTTCAGGAAATACTTCATTTACTTCTTTTCTTTATGCAAATGACTTCCTTCCGTCGACAAAAAAGGGTGTCTTGCCGCACGAAGTCGACTTTTGTAAAAAAAAAAATAAACAGTTATTTTTAATGTGCAAAACAACAACTTTGCACGACTTGTATCACACGTTTTCGTTGGATCCTTCGCACAAATCTGAACACAAAAAACGCTATATTTCCCATTCTCGTCCCCAGAGCCCCTCGCTAGTTACGAATTCAGCCGAGTAACTCTAGGGACGACAATGGATATTAAGTATTGACCGCTCCAGAAATACCATAACATACCATAATGCTCTTTGTTTGTCACTCCAACATTTGGCATAAGCATTGTCTAAAGTTTCTCTTGGGAGTTAAAATGGCCCCAAGAGAAAATGAAAACAATGCTCTTGCAAAATTTGGGGTGACAAACAAAGAGCATTATGGTATGTTTTGGTATTTTCTGGAGCGGTCAATTCAGAATGCGTGCTTAGAGAGCAATGTGAGAGTGCTTGTTTTGTTGAATTTCAGAGGCAACGTTGCAAACCACAATATTTTAAAATCTATTCCTTAAAATGTGACGAAATTTGGCAGAAATCCTGTTCATATCGCACACCTGTCAATGAAAGCCTCAAACTAAAAGTTGAACAAAGGAGTTTTGAGACACAATCAAGTTTTTCATCAAAGCTGTTTTCTTAAAACTTTCAAAAACTGTTTGTCATAATTTGGTTAAGTTGTTTTTTTAAAAAATGAGGGTTACCAATTGTAAGCTGTCTGGCAAATCTAATAACTGAATTTTCGTAAACCTATAATAAATTCAAAATCTTTGGCTTGTTTTCAATCATCCACGTTGCCATGGAAACGATCTAAATCTTACCTTTGACCAAACGAATTTAATGTCATGTATGTATTTTGTCCATGCCAGTTTTGAGCTGAAGGATGCTAAATTTGTCACGGAAGTTCATCAGAAGCACATAGACCAATGATTCTGAGTCCATAAAATTGCGATTTATAGATTCATAAGAGCGCCATAGTTGTTAGTTCAAATTTTATTGCTTTTATTATAAGTATATAAATGGATAGAGGCTTCGCCTTTAGCCCTGGCTAAATCCATATATTAAAATTGCAATTTACATATTCATAAGCGCGCCCTTTTCTTTAGTCTTTTCCCGCTAAAAATTAACTGCTATAAGCCTCTAATGCCTCCACAAGTCAGTCCTCGGAATGACTGGCCAGCGTACTGCGATACTGGTCTTCATTACGAGCTGGTGTCGATATTGAGCAGCACCGTAATTGCTAGTGATTGGTGCATTAGTTGAGTTCAGTCGTGGTTAGTGGGTTTCCATCCGAAGCATTGTTTATATTTGGTGTTCCCTAGGCGGTTCGCTGATAGTACTTCACCGATCTACTGCTGCAGCAGTGTTGTCTGATCGAAGGTATTCACGCTTTTTCTGAAATCTCAATTCCACCGTCTCTGTTAGGCTTAAAATACCATCGGTAAGCCGCACTGGATTGCACCATGACGTGTAAAGAATTCATTGTCGCGGCAGGTGAAATCAAAGTTTTATGATCTGTAGTTGCTTAAATTACATTAAAACTGTTTCACTTCTGACCTAGGGTAGCTCTTTCAAAAGCTAGCTGCTATTGACCCTTCCTCAATGGTTACCGCTCAATACAGGTTTCGAATGCGTATCTTTTTTGTGACCACTGACTTTACTATTCATTCATAAAAGATATGGTAAGCGTCATTAAAAATAATATACCATCAATTCTCTTTTGCATGTTCCTGGCTTTAAATTATTTCAAACTTGGCCTTGAGGACCCGAGGTTTGATTAGAATAGAGCTCTGAATTGATTTTCTCGGGCATAGTTTCTTTTCGCAACTGCATAAGTAAAGTATAACTGTGATTATGTTCTCGCATTCATTTAGAGTTACTTAAGTTAGGTATTTGTCCCCCCACGTAAGGAAATCCAAGACAGTCTGGGATAGTCTGCAGGATTCCACCGCTGTAGATTCCGGATTTCAGGTATTGGATTCCGGATGCCTAGTCAGTGAAACTTGGATTCAGGATTCCACTCGTTCTTTTGATTTCGGATTCCTTGAGCTCAGTCCGTTAAGGATTTCACAAGTAAAAATTTCCCAGATTCAGGAATCCGGATTATCTTGATATATGCATGCAGTAGCCAATTTACATCCTGATGCGTGGTGGTAAATTATCTAAGTCTTAAAATGCACCGATAAACTGGATGCCTTAACGTACAAATTAGAACTGAGTGCCTTATGGGGCACAGGAGTATGTTCTATTGATTTGCTAGGGGCCTTCTTGGGAGCCGGCTGTGAAGAAAGGTAATAGTCATTTTGCAGTTATGTCCATTACAGTGCAAAACCGCAAGAGAGAAAAGAGGAAGTAATTTGTCAAGAGACGGCGTGTTCGGCGAACACCTGTTAAAGGGTAAAGGCGAGGTTAAATGGTGAAGACGTACAAAACAAGATATTCAACATTATTTAACGGCTGATTTTGTCGGTTGTAACATCAACGGTCTTTTACCTGAGTGTACACCATCTTCTAGGAAGAAACGTAAAGCTTAGCCAAAACAATTAAAGCAGTATCAAAAAAAGAAAAAAAAAACTAAAAAAAAAAGTTTATGACGTGTGCTTTATGGCTTAAGGCGATTGAAGCCATCATTTATTTAGCAGGACTTTACACATGCACATGGCCTTGTTGTGACAAAGAATAAAGAACAGAAGACAAAACCTGAACAATATACCATATTGGTTAATGGGTTAAATATTGTGGTTTAAGATAATGTATATAAAACTCCGCAGAGCATCATTCAGTACAGGCGATTTTGCAAGACAATTCAGCTTAGTACATTTTCTCAGCTCGATTAAGTCCTGGAAAAAATTAACATGAACAGGGTAGAACAGACTGGGCAGAGGGAATACTGCAGCACAAGTCTTTTCATATCACAGGATGACGAGAGAGGGCAGTGTAACAATCAAAACCAGAAAAAGAAGCAGAGGAAAAGGCGAAATTCGTCTCCTTTCTCTTACATAGAAATAATTGCTTATGCCATCCTTAGCTCACCCCAAAAGCGCGCCACGTTGTCTGAGATATACAGTTTCATCCAGAACAACTATCCTAGCTTCACTGAACATAGAGTACGCTGGAAGAACACTGTCCGCCACAATTTGTCTCTTCATGAATGCTTTCAGCGAGGAGGGATCGCGGTGGATAGAGCTGGCTGTTACTGGCACATTCACCCCAGTTTTGTGGTAGCATTTAGCCGCGGAGATTTTTCAAGGCGTAAATCGGTGCACAGCAACGATGCAACTTTGGGTCTGAATGGTTGGAGCAGTTTAGTTAAGAACCACATCGCTATACAGTGCCGCTGCTTGCAGTGCTGCATTCATACGTCAAACGCACCGTTTTCAGTAGCGGCACCCATGGAACCACTACAGTATCACTACGGGGTATTAACTCCATCGACTCCGTTTTACACATTGCCTACCTACCTAGTCTCACCGGATTTTAAACGGAAAAAATCAAGTGCGAACCTTTAAATTTTATCCACAAGCCTGAAAGATACACTTATTTCTGTTATTTATTGTCTCCAAATGTTGACATAAAGTTTTCGCATATCCAACATAAATAAGAAAGTTGTAAATGGCATGCAGAAAAATTTGTTGTAGCATTCAGAGAGTTTTTGTAGACATCAACAGTAAAAATATCAGGAGCATTGTCACTTTTTCTTGGGATAAATAAAGATATTATTTCAAACAATGACCTCGAGAATTGTAAATATTTTTTGTTTATGACTTCCCCAAACTGGATATAGCGATGCAATAGTATCTGGTCAAAATAGATTTAGATAAGAATCATTCTTACCTATAACAGTCAAGACATCCGATTTGGTTGGCTTCTAGCTAGACTAATATTCAAAATTAATATTAGAATACAAATTTTCAGTTGTCAGTGAACTACTTAACAAAGGCGACATCGTTCCCTCGAAAATTACATGCCCATGCAATATAAGACTACGTCCGACAGACGAACTAATAAAGTAAAAGCTTTATAAAGTACCTCAAATTCTCTCTTGTATCTGCAGTCCCCTGAATTGTTAACTCAAAGACACTCTAACTTACAATGTACTGCTGAATTAAATTTCCTGCAAACGAGCTGGTGACGTAAGAAAAATCCTAATAATTTGGGAATCTATGTAAATAAACGGAGATTCCCGCACAATAATGTTTTCTTTTCAACAGGCTGTGTTTGTGGGATTTCTAATTTAGCAAAATATGTTTTTGAGGCGATTTTCTTCACAATCAGGTCGTTTCACTGCGTAGCTTTTTTAATTACCTTGCAACCAGCTCATAGACCCATCATTTTCGTGGTCATTTTCTGACTTTCTTACACTTGATTTTCAAAATAACAATTGACTGTCATAGGGCCGGAAGGAAGACAAAACGACACTCTCCCTCGCCCTTTCCTTTCTGATGTTATGGACCACCAAAAATTCTTACTAAAATCTACGGACACGGGCATATATTCACTATAAAATATTACAGCACGGATTCATTGTAATGTATTTATTTCCACAGTGAATTAATTAAGCCTAAAAGACGAACAAATTGGCATTAGGGACGCGAGTTGAGCGTTCTTAAAAAGTAACAATCCAATTTCATGGTTTTTAACGTCATAATTGGACGCAGGTGGACGCAAACAGCAAAATTTCGTAAATGTTACAGACCTTGTCAGCACAGAGGTTTAGAACACATAGAGAAAATACTGTATTTGTATTACCGACATAATTAACAACTACAAAGCAAATTGTCATCAAAATAGGTCTCCAGTACCGGCACACTTAAAGAAACGTCTGGAAATTAACACAAAGAGAAATTTTTAGAGCGCATCATCTACATAGGCGTACGGGCCGGGGGGGCGAGGGGGGCTGCAGCCCCCCCAAATTTTGGGCAACCCAGATTTTTTGGGTAGCACGAGAAAATTTGGGCAAAGCCAGTTTTTAAAGACGTCTGCATGTTTTTATTATTATTTTGAAGAGATGAATATTTCCTATTTTAACCTGAAGTCGGCGTAATAATCCAGTTACATTCACACGAGACAGTGGCTGCCTAGCACCCGACGAGTTTCAGCATGGTTATAAGGGAAAGGTATCATATGCTGATTTTTTTTATTGTTGGGCACTGTACTGCAATGGGCTATTTCCAGTCGTGAATTGATTAGAATAAACTCCTGCCTAACTTTCTAGAATCATCTCCGCTCGTAGAACAGTGTAGCAGATGGCATCAGCAATGGGTCTCAAAGTGAAGAAGTGGCTGACTAATTCTCAGTTTGAATTACGAGAAGAATCATATTTTTTTAAAAAAAATCTATCGAGCGGTTTAAAAATTATTCACTAATTTGTTAAAGTAGACTGAAATGTTTACAAAACCGCTAACAAGAGCGCCGTGATACAAACTAATCAAATCCTTCTTTGTAGCAATTGGCCGGAGCTATCTCCATGATCTTTCAACCACGTTTAAAAAAAAAGATTGAAACTACTATGAGGTGAATTTGCATGTCAAAAGCGCATCGTTTTCTACAGATAACAGCCAAACATCAACATTTTCCTTTTTTTACCGTATTTCCAATGATAAAAACTTTATCCCAAAATATCTCGATAACACTGTTACAGATCCCGTTTTAACTTCATCAACATCGAAGCGACTATTGGAGGAAAAAGCTCCTGTGGTCGATTTTGGAAGAACAGTTCCCACGGGTATGTTACGCCGAAAGTGACAAAATATCAAAGATGCAACTATATAATTCAAATCCACGAATTCACTATCAAGATCGATACAATTAGCATCAACTTGCTTTTTGAATGTGTAAAGATTGTAGAATTTAATTTCAATTCCCACGTGTTTCTTGTCATGTATCAAGAGATACGTTTTTGTAAATCAAGATGCTTGTTTTTTTAAATCAAGAAGAGAGACGACAGTTTTTGATCATTTCTGTTTCCGAGAGGGACTGAAAGCGAGAACCCAAGTTGGAATTCAAGATGGCTTCTAATCGTTGTAAATGAATTCCCTTTTGCAGCACTGCGGGGACTGTGTGAACGAAAATACCAATGAGGGGCACGCAGAATTTCTTGCAAGACGTCAAGAGGAATATCAACGCACTTTGCGGGTGATGTATGGTCGAGTTACGGAGTCGGCCCAGGACTACTGCCGCAGAATCAACTTACTCAGGATTTGGAACTTTTAATACAGATAATGAGCTCCAGAGTACAATCACTTGCAACAGTAAACAGTGACTTTCATTATGTACGCAATACAGAAGAGTCAAGTACTACGCTGAATTCACAGTGGAGTAACTGAAAGAATGCTTCTCACAATATTGTCCAGGTGTCGGACCAGGAGGAAACATTATGCTGTTGACCGAGTGGCATACCAAATTCTTGCCCCCGCCGACTAAGTGTCCTAGGAGACATTCCTAGCATCCTTGCAATATCTACCCAGCCAAACCCCAATGCCTCTCTTAGTCCATGAATTTGCTCTTGCCTAATTTCATATCTAGGCCTTTCAGCATTACCTGACCTTTCGAGAGTAAATAACTGTGAATTCTGCGTAGTACTTGACTCTTCTGTAGTGCCTTGATAATGAAAGTCACTGTTTAGTTTTGCAAGTGATTGTAATCTGGAGTCCATTACCTGCATTAAAAGTTCCAAATCCTGAGTAAGTTGATTCTCCTAGGCCGACTCCGTAACTCGACCATACATCACCCACAAATCACACTGAAGTGCGTTTATATTCGTTTTGACGTCTTGCAAGAAATTCTGCGTGCCCCCCATCAGTATTTTCTTTCACACAGTCCCCGCAGTGCTGCAAAAGGGAGAGCAAACCTTCGAAAAATTCACTTGCATTTGGAATATAGAAACGATCAGAAGCCATCTTAAATTCCAACCTTTTCTCGTTTTCAGTCCCTCTCGGAAACAGAGCTGATCAAAAACTGTCGTCTCTCTTCTTGATTTAAAAAAACAAGCATCTTGATTTACAAAACGTATCTCTTGATACATGACAAGAAACACGTGGAATTGAAATTAAATTCCACAATCTTGACACATTCAAAAAAAGCAAGTTGATGTTTATTGTATCGATCTTGATAGTGAATTTGTAGATTTGAATTATATAGTTGCATCTTTGATATTTTGTCACTTTTGGCGTAGCATACACGGGAGAAATATTGCTGCAAACATAATAGGTAATGGCTTCATTTCGTTGCTATGGCAACTCCGATGTCATTGCAACCCTGATCACAACAAATTTTCATCTTTATCTAATACAACTGTGGTGGCAATTTTTCCAAATGTTTGTTTATGGCGACGTAGTTTATGCTCAAACTTGGGCAGGTATTGACCCTGAAAAACTGTATCGAGCCATTATCATATGCGAGTACGGCCTATGTTGTTGCA